CCCACCCGTTCATCCGTGCACCCATCCACCCATGCACTCACCCATTCATCTACCCATCATCCTTCTATCCTTCCACCCAGCCACCATCCATTTATCCATCTACTCAGCCACCCACTCCCCCATCCACCTGTCCATCCATCCATCCATCCATCCATCTTCTCTCCTGCTTTCTTATTTTTGCACTCTCTCATTTGTATAATGAAAATATATCGAGGTCGCTCTGGCCTGGAGGATATAAGGGCAGACACTGTCCCTGTCCTCCAGGAACCGACACGGCTGAGGGGAGCATCTGTCCCGTTTCATCTAAGAGCTGCTTCTGACAGTGTCCCTCCCTCCCATCTGTGAGACTGGGAGTCCCCGTCTCCGTCACAGCCTGTGGCACAGGACCTGGCACGAAGCCGGAGCGCCTGCATGTGTGTTGCTTGAACTCCCTGGGGGTAGTGAGGGGGTTGGACAGTCCAGGTAGGTGGGAGAAGTTCGTAGACTCTTAAGGAATGGTGGTGACAGGCATATGTTAAAAGAAGACTTAAAGGATCTTTTGAGGGGAGAGGAAAGTCTCCTGGGCCCCTTTCCCTGCCAGGTTTCTGGTTGGGGGGATGGGGCGCTCGCTTCCCTCTCTCCTGACCCACGTTTTGCCCCTGGGTCTGCAACGCAGCCACACGTGATGTGTCCTTGGTGATCCCCACGTGACAGCTGAAGGGGAGGGCACAGAGCTTGGGGGCCAGGCCAGATCAGCTCCCTCTGGGTGGCTGGGAGACCCCTGGACAGGACGCAGCACCTCGAGGGGCTCCTTATAAGCTGTGCTGCCCTCTGCCCTCCCTTCTCTCCCGGGCTGACCTCTTCGTTCTCACAAAGCTGCCCTTTCCTTCCCGCCTTGAAATCTGATAATGAAACTAATACCCAATATTTTTGCCTCCAAGAGAGGCAGGAGATAAACAGGAAGGCGTGAGGGATTAAGGTGTCTTTCCAAGGAAGGGGCAGGGGACAGGCTGGGAGCTGGGCGACACCCTGTGTGGAGCCAGGGGATCCAGATGTGAGCTGCTTTGCCTGATGCATTTTTCCATTTGTGCAGAGAAAATAAAACAAAGAGAAAAGAAAACAAGCCGTAAAATACTTTGCAGAAGGCTGAGCGTGGGCTATTGCCACTGATGTCCCCTGACAGCTCCAAGAAGAGGGGGACAGGGCGGGGGCGGGGGCAGCCCTGTCTTTTGATGTTCGGCCTCTGAGCTTTCTTTTGTGTGACCAGTTGTTTGGGAAGAGCTTTTGCTGGTGTAAGGTGTATTATAGGAAGAGAGATACCAACCAGAGGCTCCCCCTGGGGTGGGGGAGGGGGGTGCTGAGCTCCGAGGAGGGAGTGGGGAACAGCTGGACTGGCTTTACAGATGTGGATGTAGGCTTAGCATCTGCCTCCGAGACGGGTCAGAAGATGCAGCTACTGAGGCCTTTCCCGTACCCGAAAGGCCTGAGGAAGTGACGCCCCGGTGATTCTTCCAGATCCCTGCGACTTCTGTCCTAGTAGGAGAGATCCAGATTCTAAGCTGTAGTCTAGGGCCAGCTGTTCCTTCCACTGATGTGGGTCCTTTCCTCTGGGGCAGTGGGCCAGGAGCCAGGAGACCTGGGTTCTTGTCCTGGACCCCTGTTTACTGGCTCGGTGGTCCTAGGTCGCTTGATCCCTCTGAGCAGCCCCCTCTCACCCTAGTCTGGCTGAGTGATTCCACAGTGACAGTGAACTTGCATCTTTCCCCGTGCTGGTGGGCAGGGCGTAGCTGAACTTCCTTTGCACCTGACTGAACTCAGCCCCTAGGGCTGGAGGTGATGAGGGGATACTTGTAAGGCTCTTGGGGGTCATTCTCTGGCTTAATTTGGCTCCTGGATGCTTCTTCCAGACTTCAGGCATAAGCTGAGGTCTTTTCTCTTGTATCACACACAGCATCTCCTCTGGAGCCCTCATCCATCTCTGCTTGTAAACTGTGTGTGATTTGGAGGGTGATTCTAGGAAGAATATTTAAAGAAGCTTATCACAACAGAGAGAAAAATTCACAAAAGTAATATGTGAATAAGAAACGGGTAGAAATATTTGCAGCTCGGATATAAACAAGACAAATGGTTTTTAATCCATCATCTATAAGAGCACTAGACATCGTAAGGAAAGAACCCACCTTTTTTGCAATTTGGGCAAATGGCATGAACAGGCAATGCATACACACACAAAAAGAAATATAAATAGAAAAACAAACACACGGAGAAATGTCCAGTCTCACTGGTAATCAAAGACATGCCATGCAAATTAAAATTGTGTGTGTGTGTTTTCCAGGTGAATGGGCAAAGGCTAAAAAAAAAAAAAGAACGCTGATACCAAATGCATATTGTTATTCTCTTCTAGGGTGTGGAGAAATAGGAACTCTCATATCCTGCTGGTGGGAGAGTAAACTAGGACAGCGTTTCTTGAGGGCAATTGAGATCCCGAGTTGAGAACACCAAAATTTAACCTGGCGATTCTGCCCTGAGAAATTTACCATACGACAGTCATCAGAGCAGAGTACAGATGTGCATGTTCAAAGGTGGTTACCACTGTGTTGTTTGTGATAGTGAAAAACTGGAAGTAACCACCCAACCTGGGAAGACCGTGCTTTTAACCGCACCAGTTTCTGATTCCAAGGAGCCCATTCCGTGTATACATACGGTGGAGGACTTTCAAAACTATGAAGGACATTATCTGACATAAAAAGAAATGTTCATCATTATGAGAAGATTGGCTTGGAAGCGAGAGGTACAAGTATGATCCACGTGTGTAGGAAAGAATTAAATAGCTCCACAGCGGAGCAAATGTTAATTAAAGCCTGCAAGGAGAGACTCAGTATTAACAGCAGTTGGTGGAGATTTGAGTGTGGTTTTTTTTTTTTTTTTTTTACTTTTCTGCTTTTGTTTTTCAAGTGTCTGGTATTAAGCGTGTGTTTCTTTAACAATTACATAAAATGTGATTTAAAACAAGCTTAGCACAAAAGCAAGGGCAAATGGTGTTGTAGAGTGAGCGAGATTAGGCCAGATTTAAGCTGGAGGCATCCTGGAGTCAGAAGCCTAAAGGGGAAGCAGGGAAGTGTCACAGGGTGATATGAAGAGGGCTGTGTAGGGGCTGTGCTGGATCCCTAGGGAGCTCAGACCCCCCTGAGTGCAAGCCAGGCTGGCCGGAGGCGAAGATGGGCCTGGACGTGACATTGAAACCAAGACACGGAGGTTGAGAAGGATGCAGGCAGATGAGGAAGGGGCTTGAGAGCAGAGGGTCCAAGGAGGCAAGGAACGGCAAATGCAAAGCCACAGAGCGGACAGGTGAGGGGTCCTCACGCGTGGCATGGTCCAGAAACTGACAAAGTTTGATACAGCTTGAAGCATAAGAGGAGAAAGGGGAGTGATCAGAACGACGGCAGAGGGGCGGGGGGAGAAGCAGGACCCATTTATTCAGAGCCCGGGAGGCCGTGTTAAATGATTTAGATTTTATTCAGTGGGGAGCCACTGAAAGATTTTAGACAGGTGCTGGACATCTTCAGATATGTGCTTAGAACTCCTGCTCTGCTTACGGTGTCGGGAGCTTGGAGGGCTCAGCTCAGGTGACAGAGGGGCCAAGGCCTGATGGATGGAGAGCAGTGAATGGGTCTGGGGAAGGCACCTTAGGGTCCACATAGAGTCCCCAAAGCAGAAGCCGGCAATGTGGATTTGGGAGACAGGAGCACAGAGGTGGGCACTGCCGTGAGGGGTGGACGAGGCAGACTGGGGACAGCGTCAGAGTAGAGGGAAAAGGGTGCTGAGTCCAGAGGAGCATGTGGGGAACAGGCAGAAGGAAGCAGGATTAGTCAGGAGGAGGGCCGGGGGGAGGATGCTAAGGGCCTGTCCAGAGGACCCAGCAGCCAGGAGCGTGGGCCACCACGCTGTGGGAAGTCATGCAAGTTGATGGTGGGAGGGGAGACGGTGCAGCGGGGCCCCGAGCCCTCAGTGGCAGGAGGAGGCGTGGGAAAAGGGGAGTCCAGCCCAGTGGCTGGAGCTCAGGGAAGTGGGGAGCGTGCGTGGGTAGAGGCGCTGCTCAGAAGCAGTGCAAGTGTCTGCTCCGGCTGCGGTGATAAGTTGGCAGCCTCCGGGGTGCTTAACCAACACACGTTTATTTCTCATAATTTGGAGGCTGGAGTCAAGAGCAAAGTGTGGGGTTGGTTTCTCCTGAGGCCTCTCTCCTTGACTTGCACCCCTGCCAGCTCTCTGCGTGTCCAGACTTCCTCTTTATAAAAAGAGGACGCCAGTCAGATGGGACTGGGGCCCACCCTTATGTCCTTTGTTTTTTTTATGCGGTACGCGGGCCTCTCACTGTTGCGCCTCTCCTGTTACGGAGCACAGGCTCCGGACGCGCAGGCTCAGCGGCCATGGGGCATGGGCCCAGCCGCTCCGCGGCATGTGGGATCCTCCCGGACCGCGGCACGAACCGGCGTCCCCTGCATCGGCAGGCGGACTCTCAACCACTGCGCCACCAGGGAAGCCCTTATGTCCTTATTTTAATGTAATCATTTCCTTAAAGACCCCATTTCCAAGATAGGTCCTCTACCAAGATGTCTCCCAATACAGCCCCGTTCCAAGGTTCTGGGGTTCGGGCTTCAGCACATGAATGGGGTGGGGGGAGACACAGTTCAGTCCACAGCAAGCAGGATTTGGGCACAAGGAGGATGCCAGCCGCATCCCCCAGCTCTGACTCGTGTGATGGGTGTGTGGGCCGGGGGGAGTGGGGATCCTTTGAAGGAAATGAACCCTCTCCACTGGAGAGGGAAGCAGCCGGCTAGCGACGGTTCAGGTACTGCCAGGTGGTCAATACCCGCTGATGAATGCAAACAGGGGAGCCAAGGAAAAAGCTCCCGGAAGAAAGGCTGTCTCAGGGTCGGCACTGGAGGAGGGGCAGCTGGGGGGACGGGGTCTCCGGCGCCCCTCCTGACTCCGCTCCTGACCCGCGTCCCTGTCTCCCGTAGCCTGTAACTGCAACCTTCACGCCCGGCGTTGCCGCTTCAACATGGAGCTTTACAAGCTGTCGGGGCGCAAGAGCGGAGGCGTCTGCCTCAACTGTCGCCACAACACGGCGGGCCGCCACTGCCACTACTGCAAGGAGGGCTACTACCGCGACCTGGGCAAGCCCATCACCCACCGCAAGGCCTGCAAAGGTAGGCGGGGCGGGCCTGGGCCGCCCCTCCCTCCCCCCCCAACCCTTCTCCTCCGGTGTTTCTTTTTTCTAGTCCCCACGCTGAGATCATCTCACGCACGCACGCACGCACGCACGCACGCCTCCCAGGTATCTGGAGGTGTAAGTCGGAACAAAGGGGCAGTGGAGAAACGGCTCCGGGAGAAGAAAGGAGGTGGGGTCCCCGCGAGGGTGCAGGGCTCCCGGGCCCCGCCCCGCCCCCTCCGTCGGCACAGGTGTGCCGCATACCACAGGGCGGGGGTCACGTTCAACGGGCTTACGGTCGGCACAAAGGACTCTCTTTCACCAAAACCAAGCAGATGCATTTCTTTGGATGTGTGCGCACCGCTCCCGCCTCCCCCCCGCCTCCAGCCCCCAACACTCACACAGATGCGCACCTTCACTGTGATGTCGGCAACTGGGGGGCTGGGGGGGGCGGGGCTCAGAAGGAACATTTAATCCACCTGCAAATAGTTTCACTTCTCAGGACAAAAAATTAAAGGGAGATGGGGGACTCTATTTTTTGTTCACTGAAGCAAGCGGTAATGTTTTAACTTTTTGCTGTTTGTTTTCTCCCACTAACAAAAATGAAGCGATGGTCAGATGACTCAGAGGAATTGATAAAAATGCCAGGGAATTTAGTGACATTGGGGGAGGGGAGAAGTGCTCTCCCCCCACCCCCATTTGCTTTTGGGAATTCCAGGAACCAGGACGCTCCGGGTCCAAAACGTGAGGCCTAGCGCCACGGCTTCCTGTGAGCATGGCTTTCTGAGAACATATTTATCTTCTAGGGCTCTTGGGCCACAAGCCATCATGGCTGGGGTCCTCACATGGGTCTGTAAAGACCCTGACACCGGAGAGACACAAGCCATGGGAGACTTATGCCCAGATGATGAGCTGCAGCAGAGAAACCCTCCTATGGCCACTGCTTAGCCTTGGATGAAGCCAAAGTATCGTCCTCTTAACAGGAAATCCACCAGATGTTGGGCACTTGTGTGCAGGACCGATTACATAATTCGTGGGCCCCGGTGCAAAATGAAAATACGGGGCTTCTTGTTCAGGAATTGCTAAGAATTTCAAAATGGCAAGCAGAGTTTCAACCAAGCGCGTGCCCTTCTGAGTGTGGGGCCCATGAGCCGGCCCTGCTTGTGCAGGACGCTGTTCTTCAAAAAACAGGTTCCCAGTCTGTCTCCTCCTAGAGAAATCCCTTGGATTCCAAATGAGCAGAGATGAATAGGATGGCTTCCAACACACAAGCAAGCTCTCCTTCCAGATCCGTGGGCTTAAGGCTGCCTCTGGTGGTTGCCGAGAGAAATTTAAGCGTAAAGGTAGCTGGGCTGTTTCCACATTAAAGAACAACTGATCAGGTGAGAATCCCCCAGGAGACTTTGAGCAGGGACTGAGAAAGTGACCTGGGCAAAGGGAATCCAAGAAACGTCTACGGTGGCAGGAAGGCAGGGGCACCATGGAAGGAGGGCTTTGGGTTTTCAGAGAATGTAGTTGGAAGGTAGCCAACGCCTTGTGCCCAAGTGTTTGTTGTCTCTCTTCTACTGAAGAAATTGAAGTCAGGGTCTTGTAAACAGCTGGTTGCACAAAGATTTCGTGGGGATTTGGCCAAGAAAATTTAATCAACAGGGGCCAGTCGGGTGGGCAGCCCTGTGCCCGCAGATGAGAAGGTCTGGGCTGTGTCTGGAAAGGCAGTGGTCACTTCCTGCCATACCAGTTTCTTCTGTCAGAGCAGGAAAGGCATGTCCCCTGGAGAGTCAGGAAGGAGCAGGGCCTTGGTCATCTTGCCATCTGCCTGCTCTCCCTTTCCTCTGTTGCCGTGGGGAGGGACGAGGGCCGTGTGTGGCCCTTCACTGCTGGGAGCCAGCTGTCAGGAGGCCACGGGGTCCTGGGAACCTGCAGATCATCCTACAGGGCTCTGCCGCTCTAGTTAAATGGTGTGGAGCTGCCGGCTTCCTTTGCTGGTTTCCAGGAGGGACAGATGCAGGCAGATGAGGGTGTGGTCCTGTCTTATTTCAAATGCTTTGGCCAGCCTCGGTGGCTGGGTCCTTTCTCCCAGCCCTGGACAGCAACTGCTTTGGTGGTAACGCTGGGAGAAGAACCCATGGAAGAGGAGAAAATGTAAGGATGGAATCTGCTCAGAAGGACACTTGCTTATCCTTCTGGGGAAATGTGGCAGGAAAGGGTGGGACTCTCAGTGCCTACTGATTGGTGAGGAAAGACAGTGCTTCAAAGATTCTGCCTCCTGATTGGTGAGGCAGAGCATTGCCTGAAGGGCCCTGCTTTGTGATTGGTGAGAACATACAATGCCTGAAAGATCTGCTCTCTGATTGGTGAGAAGAAGAATGTGACCTGAAAGGTCTTGCCATTTCATTGGCGAGGGAAGTCATCTGTTGAAAGTTCCAGATCTTTCCCCTCAGCTCTTTTTTTCCTGGTGTCACCCCCTTAGGGGATGTGGGAACTTTGAATCCACAGTGCCCCCAGCAAAGAAAGACCCTGAGATCTTGGTGGGAACCAGCTGTAGGAGTTCAGATGCCGGCAGGGGGATGTGTACCCTTGAGATCTTCAGACAGGTGTCTCTCCATCACCCCGCCCCCGAGGAGGCCACTGTCTTGTCTTCCCAGGGTCGGATGGTTTAAGGAAATGGTTCCCTTAGTGGAAGCATTTGGTCCCAGCATGGTTTGCTCTCAGGGGCTTCCAAAATCATGGAGATGTGGAGTCACCCCCAGCCCTGGCCCTATTGTAGCACTCGGGTGAAGGCTGCACTTCTTTGCTCTGTTTCAGATGCATTTCATGGGGGAAATGGGACAAACCAGCAGCGCCTCTTGACTCAAGTTGGCCGTTGACCTGAGGGTGCTTGGGAATGGCTATTGGGGCCCCTTCACCCCCACCCCCGACCCGACTTCCCAGGGTCTGGGAGGAGCCCCGGGCAGGGGCTGAGGCCACCCATACACTGCTGGTGGTTGGCTGACTCCCGACCTTGTTCAGTTGAGAGCAGGGTGGACCCAGACAAGGACAGCTTGGAGCAAGGGTATTCCATCCCAAACGTCATTATGTCGTTCCCCCATTTGGGAAGTTTCATAGCAACAAATTTGCTGGGCACTTTCTCCCCTCCCCTAGCTTACCAGACTGGGGCTGGCAGGGCCGGTGCACACAAAGGGCTGTAATCAACATGCCCAGGGAGCAGGCGGCTGCCCTCTCCGCTATTCAGCGCGATTTCACAGCACTGGGAAGGCCTTATTATGGCGTGGGCTGTTGTCCTATACAAAGTCAGACGAGATGAATTTCTCCCCTTTCTCTGCGGAAGGGTGTGTGAATGATACTCGTTCTGGAATCTGTCAAAAGATAGGCGGTTTTGTTTACCATTTGTCTTCTTTATGGACTTGAGGGCCCTTTCTCTTTAGAGCCGGCCAAGAAGACGCTACCATTTAACCATTTCAGCCATGCCTCCCTTTAAACGCTATTAATTTATCATCTCCCCAAACCATCTGTGATGGATAAAGACATTCCAGGAGTCTCCCGTGAACCGAATTGTGATGAGAATGAAGAAATTACCCACCGCATCTAGCGCCCCCGCTCAGAGCGGCCTGCTTCTTTTCCTCGTTGACCTGCCCCCTTCAAGTCCACGGTCACCATGGCTGATCGCAGGCTGCTGAGAAGGTGCCCGAGTCCTCAGAAGATGCGGGTAGCAGTGGGCAGAACCCTGAGATGGTCCACACCAGCTTTGCCAGGGCTTGCTTGCCGCTCCCATCCACCCCTGTTTCTTCCAGCAGCTCTGCCAAGGGTTGGGGAGGAATCGATCATTTTGGGCCACGCCCTGGCCTCCCCAACCACTCTGATGTGTAGCCAAGGCTGAGAGCCAGGGCGGTGGGAGAAAAAGAAATGAGCACAGTGACCTGCTCTTGTGTTGAGAAAGGGGATATTCACAGGTGACCTAGGATTTATTCTTTAGAGGGGAGAGCCTTATGTTTTAATGGCTCTCTTGATGAAAACTGGGCAGAGGGGTGTGTGTGTTTAAAATTGTGAAAATTTAAATCTTGCTGGTACGGCTGGGAGCTTAGTTATCCAGCCTGATGCTCCAGTGTCCAGACGAAGGCTGGGATTGGACAGTCATTACTGCTTCATTGTGTGTGTGTGTGTGTGTGTGTGTGTGTGTGTGTATACACATGTGTGTATGTCTAGATCTGGTGGTCTGAGGATTTAGTCACTGCACAGCTAGGAACCTGGGACCTCCACCCCTTCCTGACTCTAAGCTAGTGTCCATGCAGCGGACAAAAGCCTCAGAGATGCCCTTTCGATGTGTGGGCTCCTCGTCACATTTCCTTTTCCTAGCATCATCTTGGGAGGTACAGGGAAAAGCCTTGGTCATCTTGGCAGGAAGGTTCTCAGTGGCTGGAGCGGCTCCCAGCTTAGAGGGCAGGGACCACAAAGCCAGCACCCAAGGCGAGAGAGACAGTCAGAGGAGAGGAAATCCTCATGGAAGGGCTCAGCTCCAGCTGTGGCCTGTGTTGGTGCAGCCTTCCTTGTTCCCTGGGAACGTGGGGGTCAGAATCCTGATCTCCAGATTTGCTCCAGGCTCAAAGCCCGGAGAGTATCACGCAAGTCATGGGACCTCCCTGGACCTCGGTCTCCTCATCTATGAAATCATATTCAGATTTACGGTCTCTGAGCCCCATACAGCTTTGGCATTCCACATAACACATCCTCTTTTTTTAAAAAAAAAATCATAAATTAAAAAAAAATTATGGGTCCCTGATCCAATAGGACAATGTCTTGTGTAAGTGAAGTTTGTGACCCGGGAACTTGGAAAAGCTGGCAGAGCCAGGAAATCGGGTGGAGGTGGTTTTCTCCTAAGGTCTTTACAAATGAAGAGAGTCTCCCATCTTGTGACTTGGCCCTTGCGGTGCCCTGCTCTGAAGTGGGGTCTTTCAGGCCCAGCCCTCCGTCTCATTCCCCTGGGCCTACTTGGCCAGTTTC